TTGGTCTATGTGATTACATGAAAAGGTAAAATAAGCTATGTGACATTTACTTATGTGATACCTGAAAAATCTGATATATTTTATGTGACCATAATTTATGTGTTATGTGATCTATGTGATTATATGAGAATATGATATAAGTTATGTCTTATTAACCTAAGTGATTATATGAACATGTGTTATAAGCTATGTGATAAGGATCTATGTGCTTATATGTCTATGTGATATTGAACTACGTGATTATATGAATATGTGAAATGTGAAAATGGTATATGTGAATACATGCCAATGTGATAAGCTATATAAAATGATATAAATGGTAAAGCCCATAGTATGCGATATGAGAGCTGAGGGTATAATTGGCATGCCAAGAGTCGAGGTTCTACGCGGTCCTTCGGGACAATTCTACGTGGACCTTCAGGACATTTCTACGCGGTCCTTTGGGACAATACTATGTGGTCCTTCGGTACATTTCTATCTGGCACTTCAGTGCAATTTCTACGCAGCACTTCAGTGCAATTTTTACGAGCTATGGTGACAACATTTGTGCAGAACCTCAATGCACTCACATACCTTAAGTTCTCAATGATAAACATGGGCTATTAAAAGAAATTATATAAATGGATAGTAAATGATGTTGATAATGATAATGATGATGAGAACAAATATTGATAATGATAATGATGTTGATAACGATGGTGATGATGATGAGGATGATATGTGTATGTGTGTGTGTGTGTGCGCGCGCGCGTGCATATATGTGTTTTCGTTATATTATGTCTTCCATGTTTCTTTACATGATTGCATGAAATGTTTAGGATATGATTAAATAATGTAATATTTTATGATACATTTTATATGCCTCACTAAGTCAACGACTTAGCGTGTGAGTGTTTCACACGTAGGTTCGGAGAAGGAAGAAGATTAAAGTTAGGAGTCAAGACAACATAAGCCTTTTGAAGATCAGATCAAAAAAGATTTAGCAGTATGTGTTTTGTTGTATTAAATATGGCTGGCATGTAATTAAAGGATAAATTGTATATGCTATGACCATTTTTGTAAACGAACTTTACTGTATTTATGTAAATTAATAAGTATTTTACTTTCGGTTGGAATTTGAATTTTCTTTCTATACTTTGATCAAAGGATTCCACCACTTTTATATAAATAAAAGTTTAAATTTTCAACTATCTTTCAAAAGTATACGATTTGAAAAGTCAACGTGACACCTCATATGTGTATCCGAGTCGGATACGGGTTGGGGTTGTAACAATTGGGGCGCTGGCTTTAACAATGCATAGTCAAGGTCGTGTTGTTCCAAGAAAATTAATATCCTTTGGGACTACCTTTGATAATTTTTCACATCAAGATTGTCAAGCTTGGATAGGTTAGGAACAAGCATAGCAATGGAGTTCGATATTTTACTACTAATGAATTTGTTTCTAAATTGTTGGACAATATATTGCAAAATAGAATCATTAGCATTGACTAGATAATAATAAAAAATAAAATAAATAGCAAGAAATAAACCATCTCGTGGTAGGAAACCAATACCTTAGAAACAATTTTACCTCGATAAGTGTAATCGTTGCAGTAGGCGTATGTCCCCTAAGGTTAACACGATAGTTTCAAATAATCCTACACTCAAAGATTTGAGTGGGCAATGGTGGAATTGCCCTTCTCACCGAAATCAAAAGAAACTATTAAGAGGATTTAGAAAATGAAAGAATGCTTTGGGTTTTACATTATTTGAGAATTCTGAAAAGTTCTCTATTTATAGGCTTACATAAGAGGATAAAATTGTAAAAATAAATTAGTAATAAATAATTGGTTTAATTGTGAAAAATTAACAGTTGATTAAATTCTATAAATATTCTATCATAGCTGGCTGAAGATGTCCATGTTCATTCACAAATTAGCTGTTGAGAGAACTTTTAAATCAGTAAAACAAATTGTTGAAATCAAACCTCAAAAATTAAGTTATTGTGTTATATGATAAATATTCGAGACTAGCCCCAAAACCATCTTGGTTCAAACTGTGGAAAGTCAACATACAAAATTAACAGTTAGCACAACTTTTAAAATACAACAAATTAATTTTCAGATTTTCATAATACCAGCCATCGGAAAGATAATTCCAACAATTAATTTGACCAATTTAAAAATTTATTTTGCCTATAAATATATTTTAAAAATTCTTATTTTAGTTTTAGTTTCAAAGAAATTCTTTCTTATATTTATAAAAAGATAGAACGCGTGCTAACGTGTGAAGATACGTATTACCACGATCACAAACAAAATCAAACTGAACCGAGCCGACCAGAAAGATGATAGTGGCAGGTGACGGTGCTCGTGTGAGGGAGTCATCTAACCACATTCAGTAAATGAGGGTAAGAGAGATCCTTTAAATACCCTTCCAAAGGGGTTTACCCTCCCAATATGGGATATAACCAACAGGATTTGGCATTCTGCAATCTCAACATTTGGAAATTGAATTAGTTTGTATAACTGAGATTACCCAGCTTCATTTTATCTCTAGATGCCTACCCTCTCATCTAAACTTGTGTTATTACATGTTTATATTGGAAGTTGAAAATCTTTCATTATTCTTGAAATGCAGCATGAGTCATTGAAAGAAGGCAAATGGAGCAAAGATGTTTGAAGAAGAAGCAATGAGAAGATGAACTACAATGCGATAGGGAATAAAACCTATTAAAAATGGATAAATTAAAATGTTTTTCCTAAACTAATTTGAATTTAAAAAATAGCCATAATCAATGTTCTATCTAAAGTGTAGGGGTTTAAATAAAAATTAAATCATTTTACTAACAAGACACATCATCAAACTATCGACATTCAACGTCCAAGTGACCAAAACTTAATAAAACGATAATGTAAGTGAACAAAACTTATGTTTTCAAATTTAGTGAGCAAAAGTGTATAAATATGAAATGAAAACAAGTAAAACTTAAACCACGTATAATCTATATGAAAATGATGTAATTTTAATTTTATTAATTTATTGTGCCACATCAACAAACCGTTAAATGTTTAACGATAGTTAAACATCAGTGACCACATCTTAATTAAAACAAAATGAAAGTGACCAAATCTTACGTTTTTTTAATTCAGTGAGGAAAAACTTATAAAACTCAAACGAAAGTGACAAATTCTCTAGTTTATCCTAAAAAATTAAAAAAATTGTTAGAAAGCACTCTAAAAATAATCATAAGTGACTGTTTATAATTATAATTATTACGTTTTAGAATAAATTGTGTGAATTTAAAAAATTCATGATTGCAATGATGACAATAATATATATTATATTGACAACCATGATAAATACAACGTGATCAACCACAATTTAAATTCTTGAATGCAACATAAGGGATTTTGTGTTGTGTGGTGTTTAGTATTTGGGTGAATAGGTTGAGGCAGAGGGTTGTGGTGCAGGCTAAGGGCAATGTGCATTTGTGTTGCTTAGAGACGAGGGAGGTTTGACCGGAGCATACGGTTGTCGGTTCATTTTTGTTTTAGTACTCTAAAAAGAAGCCTAGTCTTAGGATGTCAAGTAGATTTGTTGGCAGGTGGTTGAATGCAAATAGAACCGAAGCAAAAAGAAAAAGGAAAATTTTGGTGGATGATACCAATATTGGCATTAAATTCTTCAATATATTTCAATCAAATATTTCTAAAAAGAACATTTAAAAACTATAGGAAACAAGAGCTTTACAAAACCAGAGAAACTGGCAGATGTTGGATTTATATAATAAAAAATTACATACAAAATTTTGACATTGCAAAGAGAAATTACCCGAAATACGTGCCCCATCCTTCTTATATTCACATATTACAATGCCATAAACTTATTCAACATTAATATCTCTTTAGTATAGAGCTTCTTCCATTTTCCAGGCTTCTTATCATCAACTCAAAACTCTTAAACCTTTAAAGCATCGATCTTTCGAGCAAAGAAAACCATAAAATTGAAAGAGCATCAACACGAAACCCAGTGCTTTGTTTCCCTCGTATCCCTTCTCGAGCACAAAGAGTCAAATCCTTGTTTAGCAAGAAATTGACAGCCGTAGACAACACCAGGGGAAGAACAACCATTAATTTCTGGGGAAAATCTGCATGATCCTCACACCCTTCTTCCAATATGGTCTCTAACCTTGGACACGTTGAAGATTTCCTGGGATTAATGAGAGGGGATGGTGCCACTTCACCCCAGCTTTGCTCGTATCCCACCACTTTCATCATATCGATAAATGATTATAAAGATTGGACTTTTGGTGATTGAAGGAGATTAATATGTTTCAACTGATTGTTTTGTGTAAATTAAGGGGATTTATGTAGGGGGAGATGAACAAGTTGTTCGGACTTTCCACTGCGTAAAATAAAGAAAAGAAAACGAAAAAGACAGGAAGTTGGTTGGCAAGTTCTGACTAAAATAGGATTTGACAACCCTTCAAGAAGATCTCCTTTATTTATTTGTAGGTAAACTACATAATTACTAACGTTACCTTTACTTTGTTATTATTATTATTACTATGGGTTAAGTTTTGAGATATCATTGGTCAAACAAAAATCTAGATCAGTTCATGTGTGAACGATTAACTTTCTAGATAGATGTGTGAACACAGTCTTACATCATCCAATTCCGGATTCTCTCAAATTTACACAATAGTGAAATCTATAAGCTTGATTTAGATGTGATCATAGTTAATCAATTTGTAAGTAAAATATTATATATTATATGGTTATTGTTAATAGATTATTCCATCCATCATCAAGTCACAATAATTATATGAGTAATTTATAATCAAAGATTATATGAGTAATTTGTAAGATTCAAGCCTAATCTCATACATAATGAGTTCCTTAGAGTAAGTTCAAGATGAATGAGTGCTGGTAAATATAAACCATGCATGCATGCGAAGAAGACAGCTAAAGTCGATAAAGACCAGTTTTCCAGGTAAGATTCCATGGATCGAACCATCTCAGGCGATGTTCGGGAGGATAGTAACTCGAAAACGTGCATCATTACGATCGATCAATTCAAACAGGCAAACGTCCTGTTCTTGCAGCCGATTATCCTTGGCAAAATCGGCCCAGCCGAAGCAAAATCTAGCAAATCGTCGATGATTGGACATATTCACAAGCCATGTTTTATCTGAAACCTCGAGTTTTATTGTCATCGCTGTTCGTTTCAAGTCATTGTCCCTCATGAATTTTCTCGGCACATTCTGTATTTAGAAACAAGTGTTTTCAATTACCAGACAGATTAAACCAAACCAACACAGAGACATGTATGAACTTACCACAGAATATCTGTTCACGTAAGAATGTGGCATGGTAACTTTGAAGGATGGATATTTGGAGCTGTAATTTTGGGCAATTTCAAGTCCACTGCTTTCCTTCATATTTTCCCTTTGACCAAACAAGCTTTCCTCATCATCACTATCAGATATTTCTATATACTCAACATTTTTCCCACCTGAACACTCATTAAACACTTTGGATCTCCCTTCACCTCTTCTCTGCACATGACTCAAGTTTCCAAGATTCTTTCTCCGAACATTTCGGATCGGTCTCGGTCGATATGCAGGGACTGGTTTGGCTGCTGTTGTTTTCCTCTCATTCTTTCTCAACGTTTCTACCCTTTTTCTGCAGCAATTTCTCCCATAAATTTCGAGTTTGAATCTGAAATTGCCATGGTAGCTGAAAACTATGAGGTCTCCCTTCTCTAGAGAGTTTTGTTGCACGAATTGCTTCCAACCATTGTTGAAACATAAATTATCATCAATCTTTTCAACATCAACATGCCAAGCTCTCCCATCACATGTTTCAAGTTCCGACTCTTGAGGCAATTTCTCAAGGAGATTCTCCTCCAGGTTCTTTAAAAAAGCTGGTGGGATCCTCTATCAAACAAAATCATGAGATTTAATTACAAGTAATTAACATAAATTACTTAAACATTAAGTTGTGCTACAAAACAAAACAGTATAAACATGGATAGACTGAGGGGGTGCGATCAAATGATTTAATCTAGCAATCTTTTAGAGTTTTATTATAACTAACAAATTTGTAAATCCTGACATAAAATCATGTGTTCGTTCCTGATTATAAATAAGATTATACTAGTACGATAATCTCTTAAGAAAACCCTAATCTACATAGAAACAAAAAGGAAAAAGTCCAGTTAACAATGGCGGCGAGAAGATAATAGACATGAAAAGGATGGTGAATTACCAGCCGTGTAAGGAAGTCGAAGATTAAAATCTTGAAAAAACTTGTCCTTCTCGCCATTGAAGAAGCTTGGGTTATTTGTTCAAGAGATGAACACACTCTTCTTTAACATTACGAACAAGATTTGCCACTGATATAGCGAAAAATTGTTGAAAAATAAACTCAAAAATCTTATTTAATGCTTCTGATTTTAATTCCTTTTACTTCGGGAAAGACTTCAAAGTATGTTAGGAAACAATCTACGAAGGATATGAGAGTAAATTGCATATTTGGTAAATAAACTTTACTCTCTCTCTTATTTCACTCAGTGTATTTTAAATCTTTTCAATATTTTCATTGAACTTAATACAATTGATTTTTTGGGCACGTAGCCATTAAATAGTTAATAGCGTTAAAATAGACTGTTATATAGATGCAAAAATATGTCATTTGTGTGAAAATTTTATTTTTTTTAACGGCGTTTTTAACGCCGTTCACTATTTAACGGCTAAGTGACCAAAATAAGAAAAAGAGTAAAGTTCAGTAAAAAAAACCTAATGTATTAAGTTCAGTGAAGAAAGTGAAAACTTTTAAAGTTCAATGAGCAAAATAGGAGAGAGAGTAAAACTGAGTACGAAATTTGTAATTTACCCTTTTGTATAATAACAAGTTATGTTTATTATTTGTGCGAGTTTATTTAAATTTTGTTTTGTTTTTTATTTAAGTTCTTTATTAGTTTTAACTATTTTTTAAAAAATTTTGATAATTATTTTTTATTTTGTAAACAATTCAACAAATGTAGTTCAGAATAATATTATTTTTCTATTTAATTTGTAGTTAACGATAATATCAACTCAAATTATTTTTCTTTAATTATTTTAATGATAAACTACATCTATAATTATTTGACTTTAATAATAATTATATTCATATTTAACTATTAGTTAAATTGTTTTGATCATTAAATTAAAATATTATTTTTACGTCACTTGATTTATCAAGGTAAGTTGTTTAAGTTACTGTGCTATTAATTTGTTAACAGAAGAGTGAAATGGTAGTTTAATAATCGACATAATAACATATTTAATCCATAATCTTTATACTTTTATCAATTTAATCCAATTTTCATTTTTTTTCAATTAACCAATAGTAGGATGTCAGTTGTAACTTTCTATTCAAGTCCATTCTTCCTTTATTTATCTAATATTCACCCATCTGACTGATTTTCTTTGTTGAATAGTAGCAATGAAATATAGAGAATGCGTTGACTGATAAAGTTTTAGTCAACGCTTTTGCAAATTGTAATTAAGGTGATTATATGATTAACTTTCAATAAACTCATCAATTCTTCGTCAAATACATCAGATTTCATAATCTGCAACTATGACAAAAACTCTGTGTGCTTCTTTGGAGTTGAATTTCTCAACCTTTTGATGTCATCACCTTCAAATTGATGCCCATATCCTCTGCACTAGGCTATTCAACCTACTGGGAGAGTGCTTATTTCCTCCGACGAGTCTTTCAGCTGCCGGTCCCATTTCGTGCACAAATTTTACAGACTCCGATAGTCGATTGAGTAGATTCATTAGGGCGATGACTTCATTTCTTTGCATATGCAACTGGGGGTCGATAAATAGAACTCTAGTCTGAATGAAAAGTTCTATGCATAAAATGTGTACCTTACACAGTTATGTATGCTTACAAACTAGCTGCTTACAGAAAGATAGATACCCCACAATATGGAATACAAGCAAAAGCCTTCTTCATAATGGCAAAATCCGAATGCATAATATAGAACGGAATTAGAACTGAAAATTGAACGCTACAAAAGGGGAAGGGTACTTACTGTCTGAATCAAGTTCTCCTCACCATTAACAGAGAACAGAATCTTCAATGCAGTTCCAAGACAAGAAACCTGAAGCTTTCCCCGAAGTCGACATTTTTCGCACCCTACACGGTCCATCACCGCACTACAAAACCAATGGAAATTATTACATCATTTCCAAAATCAATGGTAACAATAAAAGAGAAGATGAAACAGTTTCTCAAAGTTTTCAGCCAGGGGTACGGAGAGAGGTTGAAGTACAATTTCAGATTTCATTTCTTCTTGAGAATGTTCTGTTCTGAGCAAATTTAGACATGCTTAATGTACCAACACAAACATGTTTCAAGTAAATATGTTTAGACATGCATAACCAAAAATGAAATTGGACAAACCTGATATTTTTGAATTGTGCTTGTATTTTATGTTTCAGTTCTGGTCCTCTTTGTCCTTTCCACAATTTAGCTTAATCAAAGGGCATGCAGCTTGCAATTTTGGATCATAAAGTAATTTCTTCATTAGGGATTGCGTCCTTAGGTCGTCGGTTGGATTACCTGTATCATATTCAGCTTGTTCCAAGTACTCAGCTGCCTGAAATGCATCAAAGCGGGCAAGTGAATAGAGATTTATCAAGTACTTGCTCAACATGTACTTTTGTTTTCGCCTAGTTTTATGCTAGGCTCCTCAAGTACCCTACCCAAGTAGATTACTTGAGTACTCATGCTACTCACCTTTGTCACAGCTCGGAGAACAAAGAGGAATGCAAAGTACAAGTTTTCAACTCGATCTGGATATTGTAAAACCCTATCATACAGTATTTCGAGATTGCGGCCCCACTGAAATAAGGAAGATAAATAAACAATGTTAGGTCTCTGTAACATTATAATGCACCTATGGAATCAGGTTCATAAACAAGCACAAGATGAGTACTGGGTGACACAAAAATGGGAATTTATACCGAAATTGTGGATTCATCAAGTAGATAATCAGAAGCTATATGGACCGAAATAGATGAGTGAAGACCAGAAATCAACTTGTACAGTATTTTCTCTTCTTGGCATAACTCTTCGGTCGGATCTGTATATCAGAGTACAAATGAATAAAAGAACATTTTTTAAAAAAGGTGGCTCATTAGATTGTACCTTCCAATCTTCCATTAATGACAACTGTTATTAAGTGTACTCAATAGTACAAAAAAAAAACGCCTACCATGGCAAGGTGGCTCATTGGACTGTTCCCATCTTCCATTAGGACAATGTTATTAAGGGTACTCAACAGAACAAAACACACGTCTACCATGGTAACTAATAAGTTCTCCAACTGGCTAAGATTCAATTCATGTTATGTTGATTTAAGATTCATCAGGCATTCAAAACTTTAGTTACCATTATAAAATCAATTTGTTAAGAGATAATGACCAATGCCTCCACTCGTTCAAGAAATGCCAAGGCATCTTTCATTCAAATACACATGAAAAAGATCAGAGAGAACTTACATCCGGGACAGTTCTCTGAGTACACAGCATCCCATATCCTTCTGGCTGATGAACCAGTGTAGGCGGTATAGCGTTATGGGTTCAGTTGAAGATTCACATAAGTCATGTCAGCTGCAAAGAACAATAACTTACAGGATCAACCGTTTAGAGTGTTAATGTTGAAAAGTGAGAACACCACAATTCTCACTGCAAATCCTATCATAGCGAGCATTGCCAAGAGAGCAACAACTTAGTTATGATTTTCAATGACAGAACCAGTGACCTAGAGAACATCCGATACATAAAAATGAGACAAACTGAAATTTCAAAAATGTCCATATCAAATTCCGAGTCACAGTTATCAGTCTAATCATCGTACGTCCAGGGGTTATCTGTTTCTGTCCTCCCTCTAAAAGCTTTACTATCTAGTGTGCGGTCAACAGCGGACTGTGGCTTTCCTTCTTGGCACTTAAGGTCATCTGATGGAAGGGCACGATGATTGGGCTTGAATGAATTAGGGAATTCACTTTCTGGACATTCACAAACACTACATTCCTGGAAACGACACATGCCATCATCAGGCCAAAATGGGCAATCACACCACAATCTAACCTGCCCAAGGCAATAGAAAAACTAGTGTTGAGGGGCCTAACGTAGAGCACGAATTTAAAATCCGGCATATAAACTAACATTGTCATACTAAGATACATAAAAAATGAAAGGGTTTCAAGTAAGAACAATCTATTCTTATGCCATAAGTTCGTCCCATATAAGCATCATAATAGTTCCATTTCTCGACAACTTAAACCAGTGTGCTTTTTCATTGTACAAACATGGTTGACTTCCAAATTTGCATAGATCTTAGAGTCACTTCCTTTTCACCCTACAATCATCGCAACCATATAAATAGACATCGAAATTGAAGCTCTAACAGCATAAACAGAATATTCTAATTACCAAACAGATGGTCATTTTGCCATACTGCTTATCTGAAGGCTTTCCATAATTATCTGTAATGAATACCGTTCAGACTGGAAATCCTTCCCGTTCTTGAATCAACTTTGTGAAAATTCTCTCCCAAATAATAAAATAAACCATCCACATAATATTTTCATTACACAGTGGGCATCAGGCGATAAGCAAACCTTGAAGTACAAAAAAAAAGGGGTTTTGACGAGTTCTTGAAGTAATGGATGTAATACTTCACCATTAACATGGTCAACAGTCTTATAATCACAACAACAATCCTCTACAATCCCGCTATGCCTGTGTTTGTCCTGCAAAAATGCAAGAAAAGAATTATTGTCATACAAGCAATCATCAATCTACCTAAACAAAGGAACTCAACAGAAGGGCAACAGGCAACACAATCCATTCAAGAAACTCTAAGAGAATAATGATTTTTACTTATAACCAGGCAATCGCAGATGCAATTCTAGTAAAAGATACAAAGAAATGCATTGGCTTCATTCGAACACAGGAAGAAATTCCAAACGAAAATGAGACAACCCAAGCATCTTTTCACTAAGTTCCTCTTAATAGCGGCAAGAAATGCGTAGTTAAATTTGACGCCAATTGTAAAAAAAAAAGAAAAAAGAAAGAAAGAAGAAGATCATCATTCCAATCAAGTCTTATTTTTTTTTTCTTCCAAACAAAACAGGAAGAGTTAATATAAGAGCGAGTGAAACCTGATAACATTCACAAGTCTTGTTAACCTCTCCAGATCTCAGAGTGATCTTTGGTGTAGTCCTTGAAGCCAAAGCAATAGCAAGAACAATTGTAATG